TGGCTGACACTATGTCGCGAATTGAGGCAATTTCGCTGGAGGGTGACTTCGCCGACCTAGCTTTGTCGCAAAAAGACGATGAGGAACTACAAAAACTTATTAGTGACGGCACTTCTCTTAAACTAGAGAAGGTTTTGTTGCCTAGGACTGATGTCACAATATTTTGTGACACTTCCACGGGTCAGCCACGTCCTTTCCTTACCGCTCCTTTCCGTTGGAAATACTTTGATAAACTCCACAATTTGAGTCATCCAGGTCTCCGTGCAACATCTCGTCTTCTCACAAAAAAGGTTTGTTTAGCCTTCTATCCAGAAGGATGTTCGCGATTGGACTAAGACGTGTCTCTCATGCCAACGTAATAAGGTCACCAGGCACGTTGTCTCTCCTTTAGCTAATTTCGCCGCACCTGCTGGCCGCTTCAGGCACGTTCATGTTGATATTGTAGGTCCTCTTCCCGTCTGCGAAGGCTATCGCTATCTTTTGACGGCTGTAGATCGATTCACACGATGGCCTGAAGCGTGGCCAATGCGCAGTATCACCGCCGAGGAGACGGCTGACACCTTGATGACTGGCTGGATTTCGAGATTTGGTGTCCCTTCCCGTATCACTACAGATCAGGGTCGCCAGTTTGAGTCCGACTTATTTCGCAAACTTATGACACTTTTAGGCACTAAAAAGCTACGAACGACTAGTTATCATCCGTGTGCGAATGGTATGGTCGAACGCCTGCATAGGCAGCTTAAGGCTTCCCTGATGTGTCGCAACGAGGCCTGGATCAAAGCATTACCTGCTGTACTTCTTGGCATGCGTGCTGTGTTAAAGGAGGATCTCAAGGCTTCAGCAGCCGAACTTGTATACGGAGAGCCCTTACATCTTCCTGGAGAGATGATCGTTCCTTCGTCAGTTTCACAAGTATCTGATCCATTTGATTTTGTCTCACGGCTAAGAATTATGATGTCAGACTTGAGACCTGTACCTGCATCTCAACATTGTAAAAGAAAAGTATTCCTGTTTAAAGACCTTTCCACCACTTCACACGTGTTCTTGCGAGCAGACCACGTGAAGCTGCCATTGGAATCACCTTACTCAGGACCATTCCAGGTTGTCAGTCGATCAGATAAGACCGTCACTATCGTCGTGGGAAACAAGGAAGTCGTCGCGATCAATACTCACACACTCCACAATTTACACAATCTCAAAATCCTGATACATTTTTACCCTCTTCAGTTACGAATCAGTTAACTTCACACACACAAAATCCTCTCACTCAAAACACAAGTAATTCTGGCCATGACTCTTCAGCCCCATCATCCAAATACACTACACGCTCAGGTAGACGGGTTAAATTCGCTCGTCCTTTCGATCTTTGATCGATTACCTCTCTCCGTGGGGGGGGGGGTGATGTGGCGGCGTTAATTTCTGAACGCACCACTTCAACTAAACACTGTAATGTAGATCTGGCAACATTGTGAGAGACAATTATTATGACGCAATATCTGTAGACATATACGAGGTCTCTCAGTGTTTTCCACTCAATTCCTTGTTTTCTTACATATTTCAAATAACTTGACGTTGCATTTATTTCAAATTCACACAAAAATATTTTTGAAATATTGTTCGAAATGTCATACAGATAAATATTATTATTATTATTTTTTTAATTTTTTTATATTTTAATATTTTGGTATGAGTAATGAATAGAAACACATAAAACATAAAAATATACATATTTCCAAACATTTTCATATAAATTTCTCCAAAAACAAAAGTGTAGAATTCAAATTAGTAGTAATTTTGGCACTAAAAGTGAAGTATATACTACTACTTATGCTATAAAGGGTAATTTATGAATTTTTTTATAATTTCTAGCAACCAAAATAATTTTATTCAATAGTTTATACATTCAACAAGAATTCCTGTAAGTTTTATCCATAAATATTGTCTCAAAGTGAAAATATAGCAAAATTTGCAGTATAGCAAAAAATTTGCTAATTTGCAAATTTTCCCGCCATTACGGTCGCGAGCGAACGGGAGTGTCATATTACGTGGCCTCGCGAGCTAACAGGTTAAGATTGTAACGTGTGAGATGTTTAGTATAACTGAGTGATAATAAACCATTATTATTTTACGCATAGACTTTTATTGGAGTGAAGATTATAAGTACTAAGTAGTACCCATACTACTACAGTAGAAAATAGAGTAAGACTACTAACTTAACGAAATTCTAGTTGTGTATTGTGTGTATTTTCAAGTGACTCCAAAAAAGGAGGAGGTTCACAATTCGACTGTATTTTTATGTGTATTTACTCCAGAACGTCTTTGTAAGTGAATCGATTTTGATGATTCTTTTTTATTTGAAAGCTAGTGCTTCTCATGCTGTTTTACTTATTAGATGTGATCAGTAGTTCTTGAGTTATCCGTAATAATGCGTATTTAGTTGACTTCAACTACATTTATGATGTTCTCATTTTATTTATATTGAAGTCGGTTGTACAATTTTTTAATTTTATTACTTGTACATGCGACTTTTGATATTCCTTAGTTAACATGCAGTCGTTTGCAGAGAACTCTTCATAAGCGCACCTCACTTTAAAATGAATCATTAGTTCTTATATTTTTTCAAACAACAACATTAAAAATGTTATCGTTTAAAAACGGCTTTAGACATAATTTATGGTCACTTAACTAACGATTAAAAACTGTGTTGTTTTTTCTACAAATCGAATATAATTGTAATATCGAATGGAGCGAATGAACAACAGTAAAATTTTCATTCCATTTTGATATTCTTGAACTATGACTTCTGTAAGTATAACAAACTGAAGCATATTTGATGTTAAATAAAACTAATTTTACGGATTTTGTCGCGTTTAATTCCAATTATATATAATTTGCGTTGTGTTAAAAATTTTAAATTAATTTAATACACTTCAATTCATATAGCAGCATGGGCCCACTAACAAAGGAGAGGAGTTTAGCGAGAAGCCATAGCGTTTGTTTCCGATACAGAACGGTGTTAATTTTTAAGTTTAAAAAAATGGTATGAAATGTCCTCAGTAGCTTGCTTTTACGTTGATACTAGCGCCATCCCACAATCATCAAAAGGTCTATTTTCCCTGTTATTATTACACATTTTACTCAAAAGATGGCATCACTGTTAATATTTATTATTTATACCGAAGCCTAAATCAAGCTATAAAGGTTTTGAAATTTTGCGGAAATATATATAAAATAAGTTTCAACGAATAAACAAAGCAGAAGAAAAAAAACAATTCATGGTTATATAATAAGATCCGAATAGAAAGTTATATATATAGCGAAATAGTTAACTGTTGAACAAAAATTTCGCAATTTTCGCAATATGGCCGATACTGTTGACGTTACTGTTGATGGTTTCCCGGTCGTTCAACAGACGCAGGCTTGGTTTTGGCCTTTGTTCTTTAGATTCAAATATCTTCTATTTCAATTGAAATTATTCATAATTCTGAGTTAAATATTACTCTCTATTATCTATTCTATTGTTTTCTTTAAATTCTATTCATTAAAAGACTAAACTGCAGCTGTAGTCTTCAATCTAAATATGGCAACGTCTAAAAGTTTATATTTTTCTTTACGAAATAAAACGAATAAGATATTTGGTCTTTATTTTTATTTTTATTTACAGCTTATAATATAATAAACTAATTAAATGCATAAAATTTACAAGTGCCATACAATATTTTTACGCAACACATGTTTTCAAACTTAGGTACAAAGTACTATCGCTCTGTGAGTCATAAAATGGATCTCATATTACAGAGCTCTATTTTAAAAAGGTGTGATTATTGCTAGCCCATTTACTCTTTAGCATTTTAGTATATGATAAAAGGAGAGAGAAATATTTCAACGGTTAAAAATAGCGCGAAATGTGTCTTACTGGTCTGCGCTCGTTTCCCGGTGGGTTCACAGTATCTGCCACAATCGGCCATCTTGACATCCGCCGGGATACTAGCGTGCAACAGACGAAGGGTTAAGGTGAACGCACATATGTCAGCAATGTACGCGCCGCACGCACCGAACGCGCCGCATTTTAGAATTCGTTGTATGCAATCATGAGAAACCACGCACATTTGACCCGCACCGTACGCGCCACGTTTCGTAAAATGCTGTAGGCATATGAATTTTGAAGAAAGCATTCTGATGACGTCATATATGCGGCGCGGTGCTGGTACTCGGTGTAGCCGCATGCGTGCCCAGTGTTGCCATATATACGGATTTGTCCGTATCTATACGGAGTTTTAATGTTCAAACCGGACAATACATGCACACAGATTTTTATACGGAATTAACAGGCAAATGCAGAGTAGTTTCTTAATATTCTTAGAAAATGAATTTAAATAAAACGGAACGTTAAAAAGATTTGATCTTTCATAAACTAGCGATTTGTATTTTTTTCAAATACCCTTGAGATATTTTGGTTGGTCGTTAAAGGGTTGAGCTACGTCTAGAAACGTAGCGGGAAGGTGACCACCCCGTCAATTCCGCCGACGTGCGGTCGCACTCTCGTTCTGTTTCTCGCTAGAGTGAATGACGATTCTGGGTGACAGAAAAGGATAGAGAAGCATAGGAAAGTGGGGTTCCGTGCTGCTAGATGTAGCAGTTGCTAGATGTAACAATGAGAGAAAAAGACAGTTAATAGTGATATAAATTTACTTTTAGTGCAAGCAAGACAAAAATATTTTATCAAGATTTTTTCTTTCCGTAACATGTTCTCATAAAATTGTTCATATAAAAGTGCTCTAAATCGAAATTATGTCAATAAAATATAAGATGAGTTTTAATTTTTTTGTACGGAATTCATATGGATTTTATTAGAAACTTCCTATACGGATTTCACACGGAATTTGGCAATAAAAATTTCGGAAAACTGATTTTAAGATCTGGCAACACTGTGCATGTCTGCCATTCGGGCCCGTAGAGCTGAGCGACTTGCACGTACCGAACGGTACACGAGCGAACCAATGGACGAAGTGGCTTTAATATCGTTTGTACAACAATATGAGGAGTTGTGTAATTTGCGACATCCCCACTATATGAACCAGCAAAGACGGGACAACATATGGGAAGAAATTGGGGAACAAATGAATGATACTGGTGAGTAATAATCATTTTTATTTCAAAACAATTTTAAGACCTACGTACAGGTAGCGACACGTAAGTTGTTAACCGACCGTTCCGTGACCGTTATAGCTGCGCACCATGTTGTGCCCCGCTCCTTGCGTGATTCCCCGCGATACCTTATTTTTGTTTTCTGCGGTCACTTATCAATTTACGAGCCGAAATCTGTACTCAGTCCGTTCACAGCAATTTTCATTTCACCAACCACCATTGATCGATTGCTCCTTTGAACGATGCATTATTTCAACGAAGTTTTAATTGCCCGATGTAACGATTCATCAAAAAACCTATTACCGTTATCGAAGTTTATTTTAGCGACGGTATATATGACTGACGTATTATTTAGTCGATGTAACATTTCAGCGAATATTTAGTTAACAGATTTACCAGTGACTGGTATCGGTTATTCGACTGTGCGCTCACTGTGCGCCGGAGCTTGAAGTAATATATGTTTACTGTCAAGAGCTGCAACAGCATTTGGAAAATTCTACTTATTGCGGAAAGTTATTTCTGACGACGTCCACAAATTTTCATCTAGCGTAGACATTACAATGGGTCGTAGTGTTTGATATATAACTTTACATGTTGAATAAATTATTGCACGAATTGTGCTCTTGCCCATACGGAAATTATCCGACAGTGATGTAAAAGAATTTCCGGTTGCTAAAAACTTGAAAAGAAACATTTTATAGTAGGTGTATTTTATTTTCAATTTACTCGATTTATTAAAAAAAATATTTTGTTCACAGGGTCAGTATGTAGAGAAAGACGGACTAGAATACGAGAAAATTATAGAAAGGCGTTGAGTTTAAGAAAGACCAAAAGTGGTCAAGCCGCTAACAAATTAAAACCGCCTAAATATAACAAAGAGCTAAGCTTCCTCTTTCCCTATATAAACGATGAAGAACATGGAGTTTCAAATATATCAGTACCAGCACGAGAAACGCCCTCTTCATTTGTTTCTCCACATTCAGAATCTGGAGATGATTCCCGACATTCAGAATCGCCGTTACCGAGATACACTCCGATTCGCCCCAGTAGTCGTACGTCATCGCACAGATCCACAGGCAATCCTACCACTAGTGTAGCAACAGTAGTAAAAGACTATTTGGCCGAACAAAAACACCAGTCACATACTTCTGCGCAAAGTAATATTACTGTTAACCAAGATCCTTTAATAGTTTTTTTATGAGTATGGCTAGAACTGTACAACGACTTGATGAAAAGAAACAACTGTACATCAAAGGTAAACTCTTTCAATTAGTGCATAATGCAGAACTGGAAACGCTAAATGAAAAGGATGCTACTTCTGTACCTATTGAAACGGTTCACTCCCCTGTAATGGACCTCTTTACCTTGCCGCTAAATCCAGTACAAAATACTACAATCGTTGAATCCACTATATCTGGACAGCCTCATTTCACCAATAAAGAAATTCGCTCTCGACAACAAACTTCATATATTTCACCGACCACCTCAGCTATAACACCTGCAGTGTCTCATTTCACTAATGCTAAAACTGAACGACCACCTATTGCACCGACCACATCGACTGTCACATCTGGAGTGTCTCATCATACAAATACAGAGACTGTACATTCAAGTATTACACCGACAACTTCGACTATGACGAATGAAGAGTCTCGTATTACGAACGAAGAGATTCTGCATTCAAATATTACTCTGACGATTCCGCGTCAAGTAATGAGACCAATACTTCCTACACATCAGATAACAATATTAAACGACCAGGTTCTCAATGCATCCTATGATAATGATAGCTGTGAGGTGGATGAAGAACTAAAGAAATACGTAGTATTTAAATAAGTTTTAAAATTATTACTTGCTGATTCGTGTTCTTTTCTAAATTTTACCTAAGTACTAACTTCTCAATGAAACGTATCAATAAATAATACCTTAAACATACAAGTCTTTCCTCTGGTCCGATAACCCTTCTAAATCTTGAATTTTATATAGGAAGATGTGGTTTTAGAATATGTAGTAATTCTTGAAATTTCTTGTATGTCAAATGCAAATATCTGAAAAATTGTTGATCATCATCTACTAAGTCTGGAAATAACGTATGATATTCTCCATACAAGTGCCTTTTAAAATTAATGTTGTGAATCCGGAATCTTCTGTTTCTTCGAATTTCATTTTCTTCCTCTGCCAATAAGCAGGCTATTACAACAATTTCTTCCATAGCTCAATGTCACAATACCACTCACTGTACCTTTTCACACCAAAGGTAAAAAAAAGTAAAAATTGTTTGCAATACCAAAGATTTGCTTACGGCACGTACGGCGCGTACGACGGGTACTGCGCGAATGTGCGAGGCTATCAGGAAATGCGGCGCGTTCGGTGTGTGCGGCGCGTACGTTGCTGACATATGTGCGTTCACCTTTATGAATTATAAACATTGCCTTTTATTTATTAAAATCTACGAAATAATACTAAACAAAGTTGATAGTGCCCTCTAGTGTGTTTTTCGGTAATTTACAATCTCAACGCCATCTATTAGAGCGCAAAAGAAACTTCCTTCGTTTCGTCACCTAATAATTTGACAGAGTGGCTCATCTAGTATATTGTATCTGTGGATATATATCAATTTAGCCGCGCAATTGGATTTAGTCTAGTAAACAGTGTGACTGCAACTTGTTTTATTGTACGCATAGTACTAGAGGTGTAGAAGTAACGATAAAAAGTGTACCCGTATGTATTCGTTACTATAACAATTAGTACTCGTTACTTCTGATATCTCATAACATGTTATGTTATGTTACAGCATCAAATCAAGTCGTATTGCGTAAGCGTGACGTGTGAGGTCGCGGCGTCGAAACGTTCGTAATTTGTGGAAAACATATTTATACATTACCTACAAAGCTGCGTAAGGTGCATTTTTGCACTTTTCCGTATTTTGAACGAGACTTGTTTAAGTTTTTCTAAATTTAATTCTATTTAATAGGTAAAGTGTAGAACTACAAGCGTAATATTGACAGAATCCACTGAATTTGCAATGGATTCACTATTTTGAAAATTTTTACCGTGAGCTTGTGTTACAATAACAATACAAGCACTGACCTCTATATATACAAGTACGCTGGACTGGCTATACCATAGAAAATGACAGTGCCAATTTGAAGCGCCGCTAAAGGATGTCTTTAAAAATAAAATTGACATAATATGTCAAAGTCTGTTGTCTCATTTATATAGTCTTATTTAATAAGTCCGTATTTTGAACTTTTAAACTAAAAAACGAAAGTATTTTATGTTGTTTCATTGTGTATAATATTAGTTAATAATAATTATTTTTACTAATAATGAGAGTGTGCGTAATCTGTAAAACTCGTTACCAAAAGGGAAGTGGTATAACATTTCACAAGTAGGTGAATTTGCAGCAAATATTAAACAAATTAAAACCATTTGATAATATAAGTACTTAAAAATTTGTTACTAATCTTAATATCATATATGAGGCTATCAGCGCAAAAGCGGTGTAACCCTCGACAGTGCACATAGGGGAAATGGAAGGATTTAAAATTTGCAAAAACATTTTTATTTTTTTTAAATGTTTTTTAATGTTTTATTTTTTATTTATAAAAAGAACTAATTACGTTAGCTGCAGCCGCAGGACTTAAAAAAAAACAATTCTTAAAATATAAATTTATTAAAGAAATATTACAATACTTTTATAACTAAAACTAAAATGATTAACTTGGTCGAAGTGTGACCTAAGAATGGCGAAATACGATGCTAACTTGCAACGGGCGTCGGATTGTCGGCGCCTGCTGACTCGGCGGCTCGTGACACGCAGCTCCGTCGTGTGCACCTTTAAGTAGGTTACATGCTAGGCGATTTTAGTGTAGTGAAACTACGTAATTCCTCCCCCCACAGATCAGCGACTATTTTCCCACTTTGAGGGAAAATGTTGCTGGATATGCTTTTGCGTTTTTGGGATCTTCATAGGAATGCTTTCCAGGTGCTGGCGGCTGGGTGCTTTGCTGTTGCAGCTTACTGCATCTCCACAGATTGTAACGTCGACAGGTTATTACAGTTGCTGTTGTAATAAGCGAGCCAATTATCATTACATAAATGGGAATAGTAGTGTGGTATAGTGTTGCTAGCTATGGTGTCTTGTACCATTATCGGCTCTCTCATGGCTTGATTGTAGACTTCGTGTAGTTTTCTCAGGTCGATGGATTGCAGCGAGATTCGGTTTTGAGATGTGGTTTCCTCTTTGAAGTTGCGTGGGACATCGGTAATTATTAGTGGCTGTCCGGATACTTGGTTATTCTCGTTGACTATTGTAAATTCTGACGTCATCATTGCGCAATTTAAGGGTATTGTTACCAAATAGCTTCCGCGAAGCTGCTTGTATTCTTCTCTTCCGCATCGTAGATGGATTCTTGTGGTGCGAGTGAACGTGACAACATAGTTTCCAGCGTCCAGATGCTCCATGGCTTCCTTTTCCAGTGTTAAAGTGGTCAAGTTGCAGTCATCTCCTAGGGCGTGGTTTGTGACGAGTTCTCGTGTGCAGTCATGATGATTCTTGACTCTATTTATGGTATCGTCTTCACAGAGGTACTGGTGGTCTACCTTCGGGCATTCAGCCTCCATATACGCATACGCTTCCCTGTTGGTTGCTAGGAAAGGAAGGGGTGGAATAAGGATCTTGTTATACCTATTCGGGGCTATTGAAAGTTTATACAGATCGAATATGTTCGCACTAACTATGGGAACTTTAAAAACTATAACTATCTGTTTTTCGACGTAATATGAACCTGGTTTTATAATACTATAATAGTCGCGTAAGTCTAAATTTAATATTCTATCGTCCCCATATATCATTCTTACTCTTTCTATCATTACCCTTAAAAGTATCGATATCTATCATTGAATGATGCGTGCTTAGGGCGCGCACAAGAGCTAGCATGTTTTCTATTCTAACTAATTCTCCCAACAAATCATCGACGTTTTCCGTTATGATGGTCAAGAGCTGAGCGAAATGAGCATATTTTATTAAACTATTTTCTTTATAAGCAGTGCTATTCAACAAAAGTTCTAACGTAGCATTAATTGATTGCTGATTACTAACTAACTGATCTATGACGCCATTATGTTGCGTCATCCATTCCTTGCTGAGGCTTATGTGCGAGTTAAACTCCGATATAATTTTAACTTGGTTATTTTCGAGATTTTTTATTGCGTTATCAAATTTGATAGCATCCTGATAATCTAAATTTCCGGTTAAACTTTTAATAGCAGATCCTAAGCCATTAATCAGATCTCTCTTCGCTCGACTAGGTTCGAGCCCTTTTAAATGATTTAAAACTCTATTAATTTTATGAGATAAATAATTGATTTGAAGAGAATATAGGGAAAACGTATCATTATTTAATCTTAATTCAAAGTCAGATAACTGCTGTCTCACTGCAATAGTTTTCTCTTCTATATTGTTGATGCGAATATACTGTAAAAAGCTATGATAATGTGACACTAGACGAGTTCGACCTTATTTATAAGGGAGGAGGCCAGGACCATCGTTAAGACTTTCAAGTATTATCTCCTGTGTTTGAGCGAGATGCGCCATCATCACCAGCGGGATTCTGTAACAATTTAGCGCTATTAGGGACTCGCTTAATGCGAGCTTTGGCAACGGGACCACGTTTCCGTGAAGTATAAATATGTATAGGTAGGTTAGCCAGAACAATATCGTTAGTGTATCTGGGTGCTAATTTCTGTCGACTAGCAAACGGGTTTTTTATGAAAATCTGCTGTTGTGGTTCATACTGAATTTCGGGTTCTCTATCCTTATTTCTATTCTCAATTAAAACTGTGCGATCATGTAAGGTGGACTGATTTATAATTTCGTAAACTAACTTCATTTGTTCTCTATGATTTTGAGTGTACTGTTGGAGTAGATGCTGGGTAAGGTCTACACCTACTGGGTCTCTGGGGTCAAAGTGACCTGTTATTATATCGAAGGGCCTGCATTTCGTGAAACTGTGCACCGAACTATTGTAAGCGATAATCGTGTATGGTACTAGGTTTACAGCTGGCTCATCTTTACGTGAAGCTTTAGTAATCTAAGATGTTCGAGAAGGGTTGAATGGAAACGTTCTACATTTCCATTGTCGTTTGGTGAATGGGGAAGTATTTTATGATGGTTAATATTGTGCATTCTTAAAAATTCGGAAAATAGTTGGTTAGTGAATTCAGTGCCGTTATCAGTTACTATCGTTAAAGGTAAACCGTGGTGCGTGCAATATTTTAGTAAGGCCCGTAAAACGCTGATGGCTGTACCGTCGTGTAGGTGGTAGGCTTGTCCGTACTTGGAGAATACGTCGACGAACGTAATGTATTTTTCACTATCTACCGTGAACAAGTCCATATGAACTATTTCTAGTGGCTTGCTCGGAGGCGGAACATCGTTGAATCTTTGTTGGATAGGATTACGGTCGTATTTACCTTGGCCACACACAATACATTCGTTAATGAATTTTGTTATTTGTTCTTTAATTTTTGGCCAGTAGTATTTTTTCGAAAGAGACAAATAACACTCATTAATGCCTCTATGGTTCGTTTTACCCTCGTGATAATGTTTTATAATTTCTTGTTGCCTAAGATAAGGTTTAACGTTTTCAAGTTCACTTTTGGCAAGCACGAGATTCATTGCGGAGCTTTTAAAGTTATTCTGTATGACAGGTATAATTGAGTAGAGCCCTAACGGGGGTTGATTAGAAGTCCGGTTTTAATTTTTGGGTTCACAAACTGTTTTATTACGTTTACAATATCGGTTTCTAAATTTGATTCCGTTACTTGCACCG